TCATTTGAAATTTTAGGCTGCTATTTTAAACATGAAATTACTGCAAGAATGAACATGTTCTTAGAGCACTGTATGTAGTGGATTGCTTCATTCCTGTATGGTACTTTCGACTGTTGCTTCCCATTCACGATAAAAGTAACTTCCCCCCCCCCTTTCTTCTCCTTAGTGGGCGTTCAATTTTTTATTATCGTTCCCTTTTTTAAGTCTTCAAATGCAGTCACTTGTAAGCAACAGTCATACTTGATTTGTCCTGAACTAGTGTAAAGGGAAAATAAGGAAATAAGTTATTACATAATTTGTTGTGAGCTCTATAGGAGAGGATTTTGCGAAGGTATTAAATAGAAAACATCTGTCTCTCAAAAAACAAATGAACAAATAACTATACCAATTAGATTTACACTTCTCAGTTATTCATATTCTAGCCTTAAGCAGCCTTATTTAGTCTTGCTGTTGTCAGTCTTCTGGTCTGAACTTAACTGAGGGCAGATTCTTTCAAATTGCTGGATCATCTATTCACACACTACAGCATTGAACACTTTAATTTTGCAGGATGTTATCTATGATACTTTGTATAATATAAATATGTTGCAAAATGTTCTTTTGAAGTCATCTGTAAAGTGCTTTTTTATATATGTATGTTTATTGCACAAGCCAATATGTATATGTATATTGTACAACCCAATTTTCAATTCTCAAATTATTTTAGGTGATTCTAAACTGCTCTGCATTACCCTGTCTCTTGCACTTGCTCAGTAGTCCCAAGGAATCTATTAGAAAAGAAGCGTGCTGGACTGTTTCTAATATTACTGCAGGAAACAGAGCTCAGATTCAGGTAAAGCCTGTGTATTTGTTACTTGGTTGGTTTGGTTTTCATTTTGCTAGTTCACTTGATTTTCCTTCACAAGGAGAAATAAGTAGATACAACATTGACTCTTCATTATTTGTTTTAGTCCTAACTGTCCATAATTTTACCTAACTTAAATGTTTTCTTCTAAATTTTGAAAGATTATCATAAATAACTTCATAAAATAATAGTTTAAAAATAGCTGTCATGATTTGTACTAGAGAAACTGATTCATTTCTCTCAAAGGGATTTGGCTGATGCTTATAAAACAAATGAAAAGATACTTAAAATATTCTCTTAGATCTGATATCAACAGTTATTTTTCCCTGTGGGAAATCAGATCATCTACTGGTATATTCTCTTTAATTTTGTTATGCATTGTAATATACATGTTGAAGTATTTAAAGCTGTTTTTCTTTTTTAAAAGTTGAAACAAAACATCTTGCACAAACTAGTCCAGTGAAAAGTGCTAATTTATCAGTTCTACCTATTTGGAAATGTTGAACGTTTTGCTTGGATAAAAGACCTGCATGATGTCATCAATACTGAGTTGTATTCTTGTGGAAACTACTAAATCCCGACTATTGCTCCAGGTGTCTGGAGTTACCTGAAAAAAGGTTCTGTTTGATAAAAATGAGAATTCTGAATCAGAATACGTGTTTCAATATGATTATTTTTTTTTCCCCCCTCTGCTTCAGTCAGGGATGAAAATGTTGCTTCTTAATGTAATTTAAAATCTATAGTACAGTCTCCAATTACAGACATAGTCTTTCTGTGGAGACCGCAAACCTGAATAAAATGGACAAAGTGAAGTTTTCTTCTGAGGCTTGATCTCCAGTTCAAAAATTCAGGTTTAGTGCTTATGTCATATGATTTTTAAATGGGCCTATCCAGTAAGCAGTATTCTGTCCACCAGAGATGGAGAAATCAAGAAAGAAGATATTCTCACGGCTGCCGTAGTGCAATGTTGGAATAGTTTCGAACTTCAGTTTAGCGTTTCTAGTTAGCGTGGTGCCTTCTAACAAAACATTGTTTGCTTTGATATCAGCAGGTATCACTGGCTTTTGTAGTGAAGGGTATTAATGTTCTTTCTCTGTATACTAAATCTTTATTAATTATTATAAAATATTATAATTTCATCTCTTAGGCTGTTATAGATGCAAATATTTTTCCGATATTGATCGAAATTCTTCAAAAAGCTGAATTTCGCACCAGAAAAGAAGCAGCATGGGCCATAACTAATGCAACATCAGGAGGAACCCCTGAACAGATTAGGTAAGTTTGTGTATGTTACTATTTTCTATGCCTAAGTATCTTTTCTAAGGCATTTCTATTTCTGCAATTGAATCCTGACAAACATAGGAGCAAAATCCTAAATGCAACCTTAATTCCTTGTAACTGTGTCGACACAGGGACTAAACATGTAGAAGCTCAGAAAAATGAGTGAAATATATGCAGTGGACTTAATAACAAATTGACCGATAACTGCTTTGTTTCAGTGATACTACACCTAAAGCTTTCACAGGGTTCTCTTCCAGAGTTGATATTATATTGTCAAACGCAATTGGAATAGTTAATGAAGAGTTTCAGTGTTTGAAAATGGAAAAATTTGGGGGAGTTCTTTAGAAAACTTGGTTCAGTGGGATTGTATCTCTTTGTGGAGAGACGTCAGGAATTTTAGTGGTTTTTTCAGGTATTTTAAACTTGCTATCAGTATTATTTTAAAGCAGATATCTAAACTCCTTTTTCAGAATTGAGTTTGGTTAAAATTTTACTGTCAGCAGCTATTTATGTGCTGCAAAGATTGGACTTCTTGAATGACTAGAATACAATATTCTCTGGTTTCTCTGAATACTATCAGCATAACTGATAACGATCAGTTTGAGTCAGTAGTTGATGAATGGATTTAAAAATGACAGTGTACTATTTGGAAGCAGAACTGAAAGTGATGTGATAACTCTTCCAGCACGTTTGGGAGATCTGTTGCAATAAGTGCATGCTGATTTATTTAAAATGTAAACAATCCTGGCTTTCTTATAACTACTAAGTGTTCTCAGAGGTAAGGAAAGTTTGTTGGTGTGTTTTTGCTATTATTTTGATTGCTTGCATAACATAACATCTTAAAATTCAGCATATTTTAAGTAAATTTTAATTGAGGATCTTCAAATAGTAAATGTGCATGTAATACCATAAAAGTAGCTTCTCGTCACAAAATACAGATATTATCCGTGTTGTGAAATTTTAGCTCTTTTAACGTTCTCAAGGTACTACTGTCTGACTGCAGGATAATTTAAAACCACTAAATAAACTATATTTAAGCAACGTTTTGATGCCGGCAAACGTTACTGTCTTCATTTTACTTGCACACTAGAAACAAGGACACAGGTTCTGACTTCCAAAGTTCCTACACAATTTTGTGCAAAATTGGAAAAAGCAATAGGATACTCAGAATCCCGATATCTTTTTTGTATTTACAGTTATGTCCTTCCTTTTACAGTAGGTAATGCTAATATCTTAATGGGCTGCTAGTGTGGACTACGTTAGTACAGAGCAGTGTCCAATGTTGTTATCTGTCTCTAACGTGTTTATTTGATGTTTTTGCCACTACAAAATTTAAAATGCCTGAGAAAATAACTTACTGCTGAAACAAACTTTTTCCCTTCTATTCAGTTAAACCCACCTGAAGATCATAAACGAAAAGGAGTTGAAAAGCCTACAAATTCCAAACTGTAGTTAGGAATATGCACATTGAATTTTCTCATTAGGATAAATTAGAATATTTATTCAGTTTCAGACTGAGATTATCTTTGTGTTGTGTTTTAGAAATCTTTTGTTTTAGCCACTTTTAGCAAAACTAAGGACCAATAGCGATAGCCAGGCATGTCAGAATAAATGTGCTGGATTATCAGTCCTCCTTTTTCCCCCCATCCCCCTCTGTTTTTCTGCTGTTATAAAGGTATTTGGTAGCACTAGGTTGTACCAAGCCTCTGTGTGACCTCCTGACTGTGATGGATTCAAAAATAGTACAGGTGGCTTTAAATGGACTTGAAAACATTCTGCGTCTTGGAGAACAAGAGTCTAAGCAAAATGGAATGGGCATTAATCCTTATTGTGCCCTTATAGAGGAAGCATATGGTAAGAAATTACTTCTTGTAAAACTACATACCTGAATTTCCTTATTTCTGGCTGTAAAAACAAAACCTTTGTGAACCATTTGTAGGTAAGTTTAATATTAGAATTTTTACTTCAAGCATAAGTGAACATGAAAGCATCGTAAATTAAGTAATGTAACATGATGGGAAAAGTGGTTAAATGCAGAAAACCTGTGGATGTTTGTCTGGTCAGTTTATGAAATGTGCCTCTAGAGAAACATTCTCAGAAATATTTAACACACAGGTGTCCTAGTCTATTGGAGCCATGGTTTGCATAAGTTTATCAGCCAATCCTAAGTATAGTTTTATTACTTTAATATATAGTCCTGTCTGGTACAGTTTCATTACCAACAGGGATGCGAGATCAGAGTTTGTTTTACTTATTCCCACAGTCGGATCACTTTTTAGCATAGTCAATATCAGTAATAGCAAAATCAATTTCAGATCACAAAAATAAGTTTGTACTTAATTTGGGAAAGTATTTTGTTCTTTTTCTTCTTTAAGAGTTGTTGAATTAAACCACACTTCAAAGGCAGAGTATCAAAACTAAAATGACATTTGTGGAATTTCATTACTAGATGCTTTTGATTTAACAAAATTAATGTTAAACCTGGCTTACAATGAATCTGGCATTATTTATGGAGGGTTATCTTTTTGTAGCTCTGACGAAACAAAATTGGCAGACACTTGTGTTTCAGAAACTGCTAATAACAATCCTAGTTGACCACATTGTATCTGATTAGATGGTAATAACTTTTCTGTAAAGCAGTCTTTAAATCTGAATTCCCTGTTACAGAGTTCCATTTCTAAAATCAAGCGCATACTTGGAGAACTTACTTTGCAATCTAACATGTAAGAGGAATAACTACTGAATACTTTAATGGAATTTATTCTGTTCCAGATTTTGAGTCTGTTCATGATTTCAGCTATTGAATATGTCTAGGTTCTTTTTTTTCCTTTACCAGTTAAGCATGGGCTGCTGAAGCTGTAGAGTATAAGTTCAAGTAGGGGAAGCAGCTAATTACGTCACCCTCATTGCTTTGGCCTCTGTAGTCACCAGAAGGGTTCGTATGAGCTTTTCCTAATCCAGCTGAAGTGAAAAATGAATTATCTTAAATAGCTAAAAAGGAGTTTTCAATAAACTTAACTGACCGCCAAGCACTCTGCCAGCAGACGAGAGGTTATGTCCTCTAGCTGGCAAATGATAAGCCTTTGGAAAGATAGTATCTTAAAATCTTAAAATTAAATTTGAAAAAAGATGCCAGACTGTGCCCAGTGACGACTCCGTAATAGGGGATCGAATTTAGAGTTGGGGAAGACTGAAAGAGTAAAAGAAAAGAAATGGGGATATTGGAAATTGCTACAGCAAACAGTTTTATGCTATCCTAATTCTACACAGATTCACTTTCTTTGTAGGCATGGCATATTTCTTTGTAGATACTACAGCCTCCTCCTCCGCCTCTTTAGTTTAATTGATACTCTCTTAGCATTGTTTTAAAATTAGTTTGGACAGCTGAAAATGCTGCAGAAAATGAAGACTAGAAATACATGGGGTTAGGAAATTAAGAATCGATGATACCGAATGAATTGATGATTTGGGATTGCATTTTTTTAATCTAAGAAGTACCACTATACTATAAGCTATATTATAAGCTGTTTCCTTTTGAATTCATCATTAATTTAAGCAACTAGATTTTGAAAATGTTCTGTTTTGAATTTAGGACTTGATAAAATTGAGTTTCTTCAGAGGCATGAAAACCAAGAGATATACCAAAAGGCTTTTGAACTCATAGAACATTACTTTGGTGTCGAAGAAGAGGACTCCAGTATTGCACCTCAGGTGGATGAAAGTCAGCAGCAGTTTGTGTTTCAACAGCAGGAGGCTCCAATGGAGGGGTTTCAGCTGTAAACTATTGAAGCGAAGACAAGCATAACATGTAAACACTTGTAGGGTTTTGTTTTTTCCCCCCCAGAGGTCTTTCCTTTATGGCCAAAGTTAGAGGAAAAGTTGAATATGTTTTGCAGAAATAGATGAAGCAGCTCATGCACTTTTATATATTGTGTTAGATACAACTGTTCTTTGTTTTGTATTTGTGTTTTTCATTATCTCTTGTGTACAGAAAACAACTGTGAGTAATCATGTCTAAAGTAAAGCATTAAATGTGATTTAACAAGAACTGTTAAGCTAAGACTTGGTAGGATTTTTAGGTAGTGGTTCTGAATTTTTCATGTAGTCTCAAACTGCATATCAGCAATACAGTTACTGACAGTTGCATTTTTGGCAGTAGGCTTGACTTGCCCAGTCTCTATCAATCTACCTCTTGTATTGAAGCAAAAACGTTGCTTCGGAACTAAAGGCATGAAATAAAGACAAGCTTGTAAGAAGCTGAATTGGAATGTGAAAAATATTTATTTAAATTGTGAAACTTTTATGCATTACTTTACAACACACTGTTGGAATTTATTTATAAAATGTATTTAATAGATATACATATATAATGCTAATTACCTAATATAATATTGAATATATGAAAAAGCTTTTTCTGAATTATGTGGGAAGAGGACTGTTTCAGAGGTTTTCAAATTGGAATCAGCAGAGAGCTTGCTGGTCATTTGATGTTGGCTCTGTAATGAAGGCTGCTAAATGGCGTTAAAAGTCAGCCACAAGTACAGTACTTTGCAGTGGAAGCAGCTGCTGTAGTTACCAGAAGAATGCTGCGATTATGAATGACAGAGATGGTGATTTGCAGAAGTCGCCAAGCAGATGGTTTACAGCCGTCTCCTGTCAAAATGTGGTAACACCACTTCAGTTTGAGAAACATTGCAATGTTTGCCTTTCTAGTACAGTAGCTTCTTAAAAGTTTAGATAGTAGATGTTATTTTTTTGACCAAATAAGCTGCCGCCACTTGAATTGTTCTTTAAGTTAACTAACTTGGTTTTCTTTTGGTAAGACGATAGAAATACTGCAGTGAAGAATGAATAGTAAATCGCTCCTTTCCAGTTGAAGAAAAAGTTTGTTGTACTGTAAATAGCATTAAGTATGTGGACACCAAAACTAACTAGAAGTTACTGTCATCTAAATATTTAGGCTCTACAATACACAGTGTTTGCTGTTAAACACTAAAAGAAATAGAATTCTAATATTTGCATTAACAATTTTGAATACAGAAAAATGTATACTCTGCTTTGACTTGCGTATAAGTAGTGTTTCTGGTGTATTAGTAGTATATCTCATTTGGAGAAATTAATACTTTGGGTTAACTCTGAAGTATTATTTTTTATTACCTGTAATTAATGTATTAATATCAAACTCCTGGATTAAGTGAAATCCTTGACATATGAGAGCATTTCATGCTTCATAAAAAGCTGCAATTTAAACTTCAAATTACTTGCCCCATGGCACTGTGCTTGTCACTAAACAATATTTTAATGCACTGAAAAATACAGGTTAAAGGTGGTATCATTTACAGTACCATTTTATATTTAGAATTTTTTTTACATGCAAGTTTAAGATTCTAAGATGTTTCACTTTGATGTTACAGCAATATATACTGTATTGTAATTGAATGTGGGACTTGAAGTGGATTTTCTAAGATTAACGGTCAGTTTTGACTAAGATGTAACTGGGAGGGAAGAAACCTCTTTTTGAAGTCTTTTTAGTGGAAGATAGAAGTGTAAGGAGTGTATATAGGAGTGCTGTTACTTTATGAGCTCTGAATAATAAGATATTTTAGCAAATGACACTTTAAACCTAGATTTGTACAGCATACAACAGTTTTGAATAGTGTGGTAATACTGAGTACAGCTGCCAAATTTTCATATAATGTTAGATGATTGTATTTGTGCCCTTTTCACTCTCATAGTTTCAGGTTTTCATATGCTGACCTTCCTCCCCCCCCCGCCCCATCTGTTCAAAGTACAGGGTAACAATCATGGAAATCTAGTAAATGCTGAATTTCAGTGTTCTTCTGGTGTAAGAAAATTATTCAGGTAACAGGGTATTCCATTGTTTCTAACAACCTTGTTTTGATAACATAACCAGCTGTGCCTGCTTTTTATTTGGAAAACCCTGGGAAAACTGCATTTATAAGCCTCTCTAATTTAAACCAAATCTGAACTATAAAAATATTGATCAAAAGACTTGAAAATGAGGAAAAGAGGGGACATTTAAAGTATTATATTTGTTTTGAAAGAATGTCTTCAGTTTTGTGGATATATTATTCTGTATATGTGCACTTTACGCATTTAGATAAACTATATTTCATGCCTCATACATTTAAATGTAACGGTTTAAAAGGGAACTAAAATTGACGGACTTTGACTAATGAAAATCGTTACTTAAAGTCAACATTTGGTTTACCCTAAGATTGTTAAAAAATAATAATGACAATTCTTCTTTAAAGGATAAATGTACAGGATGGCCTCTCCTATTTTATCGCTGGGTTTACATCACACTTTGTTAAAAGCACATAAATGAACAATATAAAACCGGAGATGGTGACTTAAGGTCCACTCTGGTGGGGTCATTTGCAGGTAGGGGCGTGAATATGATGATGTTCCCTAAACAGACGAAACAAGTGTGGAGGAAAAACAAAAAAACAACTGAGAGAAGAAAATCTCTTTAAGTTCGGTGTTTTATATGGAATCTGAAGTGCCCCATCAGTTACAAAGTCTGTTTAAAAATACAGGGTTTTAGTTTTTTTTGTCATTTTGGTTTTAATTAAAAGGGTACCATTTGTTCTGCTTAAATGTGAATACTAACTAGCTAATCTATGCAACTATGCAAAGCATAAGATTATTTTTCTTCGTTCCCTACTCGATACACTGAGTCGTATCTAATTTTTTCATCGTTGCACTTTTGTCTGAGGACTGGTTGATACAGCTTTTTAATTTTCTAGTATTTGCTTTAAACACTGTTGCTAGCAGCAATCAGAAAATAGTAATAATGTTGGCACAGAAATAAGTTAGCTGTAGAACAAGTTTGCAACTGGAAAATATTTACTGTCGGGTCTGTCTTTAAAAAAAAAAAAAAAAAAAAGATGCACTATTGTCTTTCCTCCACAGTTAATTCTCAGTTGGTTTAAATTTATAAAATTGTGCAACTGAGGATTTTTGTAGTAGGTCTGCCGATTGATCCGTGAAGTTTAACGGTGACCTCAAGAGTTCACTGAAATCTGGAATGAGAAATTTCAGTTACTTATGGCACAATATCTCCATATAATGTGTGGAAACTAAAACACCTACACTAACTTCAGATAGTAATAGTGCATCTTTAAATCCAGGCCAAAGGCCCGTTACTGTAACAAACACATATGAGTAGTATGCAATATTATGGAATGTTAAATCTCCAAATACCGTACAGAAACCAATAAAACCTATTTTACAGACGTTTATTGTATTTATTTAGTGTTTCGGTAAGTGTGGCTTCTTAAACTAGAGAACACAAATGCCATTTTGAATACAGCATTGAGGCAGACGAACTCAAACTGGCTGATGGGTGCACTGTAAAACTAGGCGCTGTCACCAGACAGAAAACTCGTTTTGTAAACATCTAACCAAACATACACTTGGACGGTAATCACAGTCCTGTCTCTGCCTGCAGAACCGACCGCTTCTTTGGGAATTCCCATGAAGTTTGTAAGGACTGGAGAATTGGTGGAATTACCGGGCCCCTTCCCCTCCCCTCGCGTTTCCAAACCTTCTTTTCTCGGTGTGTAAGACTTGTAACATTCTGGCTGATTACAGTTTGTTCTTTATTTAGAATTGCAAGAGTGAATTGCATAAGCTGCCTTATTTTTGCGGTTTTCGTACCTTCACTTCACTACTGCTTGGGCTTTGCTGCATTCAGCCTTTCGTTGAAAAACACAGCTGGTTTTTCTGTATGGAACTCTTACCTGTGTAACGGCTCAAGATAAGCCCAAAAAGAAAGTTTTCAAGACAGATTGTGGAAACTTGGCTCCCCCCATACCTGACATTCTTAGGAAACTACCTCATCTCCTTTGAAATTAATTACTGCTTTTAATCATGTGCAAAACATTCTAATTTTAATAATTTGCAACAAGTGCACCGAGTATCTCTCTAATAAAAGAGACCCTCCATTTCTTTTTTGTGATCCTGTAACTACCCTTGTTGGCTCCAGCGTGTGCAATACTACAGTTTTCCATTTATTGGTGAAATTCGCTAATCGCTCAGCAACAGTTAATTTTGCTCCTACAAGGACTTTTGGCACTTCACACGAGGTTACTTTGTCTTCGACTCCGCTGCCAGCGCGGCCTCTTTCCGCCACTTGGCCTTCTTTGCCAGGTTCCAGCTGGTCAAGGACTCGTGACGAGCAGCAGCCTGTGGAAGTAAAACGCCTACTTCAGAGCAGCGCAGTAGGAGTCACGGCGCACCTCGGGGAAAGCTTCCCGACCTCGGGAGCAGCCAGCAACTGCTTACACGTCAGGGGTGACCGGAACATAGGTTAGCTGCAACTAGGGTAGCTGTAAGCTGCAGCTGTTCGTTGGTCTACTTTTCACAGAACGCCATCGTTTTTAAGTATGCTACGTGATGGCTAGCTAGCGCTGCACTCACCTTTTTAGCTGAGGCAATCACTGCAAAACAGGCAACAATTGAGAGTCCAATCATGATGTAACAAGCTTTAACTCGAGCTTTGTTTCTTGCCCTGTCTAGCATCTCTGGCCTGCAATTAAAGTTATTGAATTCAATCATTACAAAACTGGGAAGTCTCTCGTCTTCAAAGCATTGCAGACATAACATCACCACTGAAAAATAAAAATAGCGTTCGCTTCTAAAACAAGCATCTTCGGCCTGTTATGTCTGGTTATGTACCACCCAAGAACTGTGCATTTTCTGACCCTAATCCATTTCCAGCGGAAAAGCCACATTTAATGGATTTAAAGGGATTTTTTTTTTTTTTTAAGCTGAAAAAAAACGCTCGTGCCATAAATATTTGCATTTAAGTACTTGGGGTAAATACACCAGAAATCATACCTTAAGCTCTATTTAAACATAGTGAAAATTAAGGGGTTTATCTATTTTAAACAGATGGAGAAGTATCTGCGGTGTCAACCAGGTGTGGTGAAAACAAGTTCCTTTTATTCAAAATTAACTTTAGCAATTAATTGCTGTCGTATCTAACCTGTTTAGATGGCGTCCTGTATACTGTAGGCTAGGGACTTTACACACTTGGGTAGGTGATTACAACAGAGTTTGTACTGCTGCGAGTTAGAGTTTAGTTCTTTAGAAAAGCAGCGGCTTTATTTAAAGTGGGGCCTTATTTTTGCGGTTTTCGTACCTTCACTTCACTACTGCTTGGGCTTTGCTGCATTCAGCCTTTCGTTGAAAAACACAGCTGGTTTTTCTGTATGGAACTCTTACCTGTGTAACGGCTCAAGATAAGCCCAAAAAGAAAGTTTTCAAGACAGATTGTGGAAACTTGGCTCCCCCCATACCTGACATTCTTAGGAAACTACCTCATCTCCTTTGAAATTAATTACTGCTTTTAATCATGTGCAAAACATTCTAATTTTAATAATTTGCAACAAGTGCACCGAGTATCTCTCTAATAAAAGAGACCCTCCATTTCTTTTTTGTGATCCTGTAACTACCCTTGTTGGCTCCAGCGTGTGCAATACTACAGTTTTCCATTTATTGGTGAAATTCGCTAATCGCTCAGCAACAGTTAATTTTGCTCCTACAAGGACTTTTGGCACTTCACACGAGGTTACTTTGTCTTCGACTCCGCTGCCAGCGCGGCCTCTTTCCGCCACTTGGCCTTCTTTGCCAGGTTCCAGCTGGTCAAGGACTCGTGACGAGCAGCAGCCTGTGGAAGTAAAACGCCTACTTCAGAGCAGCGCAGTAGGAGTCACGGCGCACCTCGGGGAAAGCTTCCCGACCTCGGGAGCAGCCAGCAACTGCTTACACGTCAGGGGTGACCGGAACATAGGTTAGCTGCAACTAGGGTAGCTGTAAGCTGCAGCTGTTCGTTGGTCTACTTTTCACAGAACGCCATCGTTTTTAAGTATGCTACGTGATGGCTAGCTAGCGCTGCACTCACCTTTTTAGCTGAGGCAATCACTGCAAAACAGGCAACAATTGAGAGTCCAATCATGATGTAACAAGCTTTAACTCGAGCTTTGTTTCTTGCCCTGTCTAGCATCTCTGGCCTGCAATTAAAGTTATTGAATTCAATCATTACAAAACTGGGAAGTCTCTCGTCTTCAAAGCATTGCAGACATAACATCACCACTGAAAAATAAAAATAGCGTTCGCTTCTAAAACAAGCATCTTCGGCCTGTTATGTCTGGTTATGTACCACCCAAGAACTGTGCATTTTCTGACCCTAATCCATTTCCAGCGGAAAAGCCACATTTAATGGATTTAAAGGGATTTTTTTTTTTTTTTAAGCTGAAAAAAAACGCTCGTGCCATAAATATTTGCATTTAAGTACTTGGGGTAAATACACCAGAAATCATACCTTAAGCTCTATTTAAACATAGTGAAAATTAAGGGTTTTATCTATTTTAAACAGATGGAGAAGTATCTGCGGTGTCAACCAGGTGTGGTGAAAACAAGTTCCTTTTATTCAAAATTAACTTTAGCAATTAATTGCTGTCGTATCTAACCTGTTTAGATGGCGTCCTGTATACTGTAGGCTAGGGACTTTACACACTTGGGTAGGTGATTACAACAGAGTTTGTACTGCTGCGAGTTAGAGTTTAGTTCTTTAGAAAAGCAGCGGCTTTATTTAAAGTGGGCAGCTGATGTCAGTCCTCTCACCATTACAGGAACGCGCACCTGAACAAGAACAATCTACGTGGTTATTTCTGCTGGTCATCAAAGGCAAAAGTAATGAAAACTACTGCCCTGTGTTTGGCGGTAGCTGCTGCAGGAGAGGCACTGTATGGCCCAGCAAGCTGCGCTGGTACAGCTCCCGTTTCCACCCTCCTGCGTTGTCAGCAGGCTGCATACCCCTGAGAACCAGCGGCACAGGAAATCTCCCTATCGCTGAAATTGCCTCAAAACTTTCAGCTAAGTCTTATTCTGAGTCAGACATTACACTTGGGAGTACGGATTTTAAGATGTTCATTATAATGCTGGCTGTGCACTATTTTCCTTTCATAAAACACATGGGAACACTTTATATAAAGATATATATTTGTAAGATAGAAAATACAAAAGCGCATAATGTATAGTTATGGTTTTATACATATGTATGTAAAAAGGATAGTTGCATAAAGAATTGCTTTTATGTTGTGAGTAAAGATCTCGTAACAATCTCTTCCCCCCAAAACACCTCTAGCTTTACTTTAAAGAGGATGAGTGGTGGGGCGGGGCGGAGCTAGAGTTTTTATAGTGGAAGTTCTGCCCGTGGAAGCGCGTGCCAAGGCCGAGGGCTGCCGTGCTTCCCTCGAAGGCTTTAACGCAACAGAAGAGGGCAAGTCTGAGGAGCGGCTGTGCCATGCTGCCCCCTTCCCTGCCGACGCGCACGCGAGCTCATGTGGTACATGCCTCGTGTCTCGCAGATGGCTGACGACGCCTGCAGTTCTAAGTAACTGCTTTTGTTTTGTACCCATCATCTTTAAAACAAACCGCACCATCAGACTAGCACATAAAATCATTAATCCACTAATCCATTTGTAGCAACAAAAGCAAAACCCTAAGTGTTATTAGTCTGGCTTATTAGCCTAATCATATTTCACAATGCGCTAATTGAAACTCTTCTGAAGCAGATTTTCACTTTCTCCCTGCTTTCTGCCTCTGCTTTAAGAAAAACAGACCTGATTATGTCCTCCTCTAATTGCACATTAGGGCCTTTGCTACTCAATTCTCCATCAAGACTCTGGTTAGACCTCTGCTGAAGTCAGTAACAGCTGTTTTGTAAAACAACAACCAACCTTGAATAAAGGACTGCAGCTTTGACCCTTAGTAGAAACTATCTTCAGCAGCTAGATTATGTTCACAGGTAACAGTGTTTTGCAATTCTTTTATTTTTTTAATGGTTAAAGCAGTGACACAATTCAGCTTCAATGTCTCACAATTAACTTCTTTTAGTATATTACTATTTATGATCTTACAGTTCTAAAAAGACTTTGCTCTCCCAGAAGGCACGAAGTGGTGACACGTGCTTGGCAGGCCAACCACTGCACAGAAACGAGCAATCTGTGTGCACGTATGTGTACGGACTGGCAAACGTGTGTGTCTTTATAAACACCGCCCGATGACTTGAATAGCTTTTAGAGCTTCTGAGACCTGTCTGAACCTTTGTCTAGGGGAAGATGGTGGGACTAACACAGCGCAAGAGAGGTGGGACAATGGAAAGCCACTGTCCGGCTCAGGAAACATCAGTGAAACTGTCAGGAACCAACAGGAACAGGCAGAGGATGTACCTGTAGCTTGACACAGCTCTTGCACACTGCTTACACTCAACGTACCACCCAAGACAGGGACAGACTGCGATGATAAAAAGTAGTGTCCTGGAGAGAGACGTCTAACACGCTATCGAACATCCTAAGAAAAAGGCAGCAGTTGGCGTTAGAGGGGTTTCATGTGTTCAGTGACTGACTCCCTTGGGGGACGCTAACTTTCAGCGAGTCAGAGAACCACAGAATCAGCGTGGTTTGGGTGGGAAGGGACCTTCAAAGGCCATCTAGTCCAGAGGGGCAACAAGAACGGGAGGCGAAGCCTACGTAAAGTACTTGGTTTTCCTTGCTGGGGGATGTTTCTCTCATAACCTCTTTCTCTATTTTTCCTCAAATTCTGTAATAAATCATAATTTGTTGGATGTAATCATTCAGCGACAGTCAGCTCCCTTAGAACTGTTTACAGGAGCTATAAACAGAAAATATTGTTTACCAACAACATCCTTCTCTGATTGCATATTAGGAATAAGCAAAATAAACAAGCCAGTACGTAAATTTAACCGAAGCTATCTACTCAGATGGATCCAGTTCTTAATCCCAGGCTCTGGGGACCCCAGTAAGGAACATTTTTTATCTTAACCTCTAACCAGGACAGGAAATTCTTTTGCCCTCTAATTTGTTTCCAAGTTTTCAGTGTTGAAGAACTGACTGGTTCAAACTCTGCGGAAAAGCTTTAGATCAGGATCACGCCACCGCTTTCCCTGAAGCTCCATGTTCCCCTTGGACACGAACAGAACACTCACGGGATCCACGGAGGAATCTCTTCCTCTGTCTTGAAACGTCCAGTCCAGAGAAGGATCTTTTTGTCAAACTTCGAAGGTTTATAACTTGCAACCACCTTGTGAGCCTGCTCAGCTTAAAGATTAGGAAAAAAATGCTTCGTCAAACCGTGCACTAAGAGGGAGCGATGGGTGGTAGCAGCGGTGGAAGGGGAAAACCCCTGCCCGTCCTGCTCGTTGGAAGAGTAACTCGGGGATTAAACTTCCATGTCTCCGCTACGCAGAGTTACCTCCCGGCGGTCACTTGAACGCCCCCGCATGCAACCAGAGTCTCCGCGGCTCTCGTTCGACCTCCCCGCAGCCTGCGGGTGCGGGTGCCCAAGCCGGCGGGCGAACGCCT